TGTCAAGATTGAATTTATGTATTTCTTATGCGGTTATTATTTTTGTTTTCTTTATGTTCAGAATCAGACCTGCCTTTGCACTTTCATCTTTGAACTTTCCTATTTCTTAATGTTGCTTCTTCCTATCAACTCCTTCTTTTTCTGATTCAAATTCTGCTTTTCTTATGGTGTTTTCAGCATATAAGTAGGATGATAGGATACAGGCTTGCCTGACCCCTTTCCCTATTGAGAACCACTCTGTTTCTCCAAATTGTGTTCTGACAGTGGCCTCTTGTCCTTGGTACAGATTCCTCATCAGGACTATCAGATGTAGTGGCACTCCCATGTCTTTGAGTGCGTTGCATAATTTTTCATGATCTACAATCAAATGCTTTGCTGTAGTCTATGAAACACATGCTGATTCTTTTTTGAAATTCTTTGGTGCGTTCCATTAGACATTGTATGTTTGCAATGTGGTCATTTGTGCCCCTTCCTTTTCTGAATCTTGCTTGCATCTCTGGAATTTCTCTCTCCATGTATGGTTGGAGTCTATGCTGCAGAATTTTGAGCATTATTTTGCTTGTATGTGAGATTAGTCCTATCATCCTACAGTTGCTTCAGTCTTTTGTATCTCCTTTCTTGTGGATTGGTATGTATATCAAGCATTTCCATTCTGTTGGCCACTGCTTTGTTTTCCATATTGGCATATTTCAGTTAGCACTAAATGGAGGGAGGTAAACTGGTCAAAAAGGAAAGTTGACACCTAATTCTCAACTACAATTGCTGCTTTAACTGATCAGGGTCAGAGAGGCTTTTGCTTACAGGAATCCATTCACCCAACATCTTTCCCTACTTATCCTTTAAGCAGTGACTCCACTACAGTGAAGTAACACTGTAGTGTAGGGCAAGTAACAGTAAAACCATTTTGCAAATAATTCATGAAATATTGTGGCTGGAGTAGCAGTTCAAAAATGTTCCATGCTGCCCTACCCATTCTTACATACCGCTGCAATGTGCTCTATTCTCTTACATGCCATAACTAGGTGTAAGAGAAGGGGCAAAGTGTGCTTTTGAGACAGAGTTTAAAGGATAATATTTTCACATTTTCTTCAGCTTGTGCCTAGCCTTGTTATCTTCTACTACGTAACTTAGAGTCTGGGAAATGTTGGCTATTCACAGATTTCATCTGAGCCAGTTCTAATTCTCAGAGCCAGTTCTACTTCTCCCTTTGTGTTCAGGCACCAATTCTGGGTTTTAGTGGCATTGGTCAAATAACATCTGGAGCATGTCCAGGAGGGCAACCAAATTGGTGTAAAGTCTGGAAACCACACCCTATGATGAGCAACTTAGGGAGCTAGGTATGTTTAGCCTGGAGAAGAGAAGTTTAAGAGGTGACATGATAGCCCTATTTAAATATTTGAAAGGGTGTCATACTGAGAGCAATGGTAATGTAGTGGTTTGCTGTTGGACTGCAACTCTGGAGACCACGGTTCTATTCACACTGGGTGACTTTGGATGAGTCATATGCTCTCAGCCTCAGGGGAAGGCAATGGCAAACCTCCTCTGAACAAATCTGCCAGGAAAACTCCATGATAAGTTTGCCTTAGTGTTGCCTTAAGTCAGGAATGACTTGAAGGCACACAGCACCACCAGCAACAACAAACTGAAGATGGAGCAAGTTTGTTTTCTATAACTTGAGAGAACAGGACTCAGAACAATGGATTCAAAGTACAGAAAAAGAGATTCCACCTAAACATTAGGAAGAACGTCCTGATAGTAAGAACTATTCCACAGTGGAACACACTCCCTTGGAGTGTGGTGGAGTTTCCTTCTTTGGAAGTTTTTAAACAGATGCTGAACTCTGTGATTCTAACCTCTACCCATGATGTTGCCTGAAGCAGGCTGCTCCAACTTGCTCCATGGGAGAGTAAACCTAACCCACTAGTCCACACACCCTCTTGTTATCCTTTAGACTCTGTCGCAAAAGCACACTTTGCCCCTTCTGCCTTCATCACCCTCACTTCTTCTCACTCAGAAAGGCCTCTCTGTGATACAGTGTTTGCTGCAACTACTTATCTTATTTTGCTGCTGATAGGGTATTGTTGATTTTAGGCCCATCAAAGGATGTCCACCTCGTGACATGGGCAGCACAGGTAAGCTTGTGGTGGTTAGTAGCGGTGGCAGGGGGTGGAGAGGAGACTGGCTCCTTCATAACTATAACAAGCTTCAGCATGCAAATTTGTGAGATGAGCAGTCAGGGGACCAAAATAAATCACAGATCTTTTAACTAAACTTGAATTCTTCTCAGATTTCTTTTTAACTCTTTGTTTTTATATGCATAGGCATAAACACAGATAAAGGACTATCAACAGTTATTCATGCCAATATTATGGCCTTAATTTAGAGGATAACAACATGCCTGCCTCCAGCATCAACCTCTGAATACCATGCTTTGATCCTATATTTGAGACAAATTTCTACATTAGTCACAGGATCTCCTCCACCACTTTCATTCCAACTGACATCACAAAGGAAGGCAGAATCTGAAACATCTGGTATTTATTAATATAAATACCCATTATTAATCATTTCATTACACTTCTAATCAACTTTATGGCATGTCTAGGACAAACTGCTATTTGCTGACAGTGCTGTTCAGCTGCTTTATTCACCTATTTTACACACACACATACAGAGCAAAATAAATTTGTCATATAAGTCTAAAACCTGACTTATCAGTCTGTTGAACTTCCAGCTTGGCTGGACAGAGAGCACTAAGCATAGTGATATTTTTCCCTTCTGATGTGAATTTACCCACTACAGTAGACAACTCAGATTCCAGGGATCCCAACGTGAGGGAGAATGCCAAGCGAATGGCACCGCTGGCACACAATTTCAGCAGTCGTTGGCTGAAAACCCTTCAGTGGGGTAAAACGCAGAATAAAGAGAAGGCCTATAAGACACACAATTGTATTGTTACCAGTTCCAGACACTGTTATGACTCTTTCCTGATACTCCCTTACTTTTCCTTCCTTTGTCACTTCAAATTTTAAAGGAGTGCAGCTTCTTGTGGAGATGTTGAACCTAATCTCTCTCCTTCTCATACAAGCACATATGCATACACATACTGGCTGTGTGAAATACCCGCTGCTAAAAGATTAGCCCTTCTTCAAGGAACATTAATGGATGGAGATTTAACTTGCTTTTTACACAGGAGAGTTAACCCTTATCCTTAAGATAAACAGAGGGGCTCAGAGTCATGCTGTAACTTAAGATACAGTTCAAGAGTTCTATAGGCTAAGGGAGCATATCTGAGACAAGCAGTCTGGAAAAAATCAAACATACATAAGTATTGCACACAAATCCGTCACCAGGCTGCTTCAAGGGCAAGGTGACCTAAGCAATTCCTGAATTTTTCCTCCCGGTTTTCTTGGGGAGGTGGGGTGTCTAATTAACCCAGATATGAACTTTCTGCCTATTCTATTTCCCACTCTCATTTCAACTGAGAGGCTGAGCAGTTTCCAAGGCAAACCACAAACAACAACAACACACACACACCGTTTGCCTGCATGCTCTGGCTCAGCAAGAAAGGAAGATGCTCTGGACAGAAAACAAAGTCCTTCTGTTGGGCTCACAGAGAAGTGGTAGTGGATAGTTGCAACCAGTTCCAGAATATAACCAAACTACACAGGCAGACCCAAACAGGGATGTCATCATGCTAGTTTGTCTATACCCTCCATTTTGGAAGCGCTCCTAGGATTGCCATTCTGAATGCTGCCACGTAGTAGCATTCAATGAGGGCTGAAGGCATGATTTCTGAGAGGATTGCACTTTATTCCCCAGTCACATGTGGAAGCCAAGCACAGGTCTGAGCTCATGTTATGTACAATGGCATGTTTCAGCAGGAGCAAATTGCCATCTGTGTTGAAACCTTTCTACAAGAGGTACTCTTTTTCTTTTGTTTCACCAAAAACCTCAACTGGTCACTGCTCATTTTCACAAGTTGCTTCAGTCCTTGCTTTAAGATGATGCACCACCTTTCACCAACATGGCAATGGCATATGAGCCAACCAGGGAGCAAATAACAAACGAACAGCATCAGAAAGGGCCCTAAATTTTCCGTTTAGACCCAAAGAGGGATAAGGAGTGTATACTCCTAAAAGTGAACCAATCTCTCTTAAAGGTATGAGAGACTCATTAATTACTCACCCCTGCCCATCCCTGGTCACCCAATTCCCCTTCGGGAGGTCTACTTTTAGAACCAGTTTCATGCTGGCAGCATATAGGAGTGTTGGCTGAAGAAGAGGAAGGGAAAAAAGTTGTTGGCAGCACAGACAGTTGAATTCCTAGGTACCCAAACTTGCTGTTGTTTCTAGTTGCAACATGGAAGCAATAGCCAAAGCTGCATATGTAGAAGTTGTTAGAATTATGGTTTTGGTTAATTGTGGTTAAATTTAGCAGCAACAGCAACAGCAGCAGTAACAACAGCCGCAATAAGCATGTACTCCACAAGTATTTGGTAAAAACAACTAGAACTAAGCTTCTGGTAAATAAACAGGATACATTGGTGGGTAAAAAGAAACTTACTTTATTGTCACATCTAGGTTCTACAAAAATAACTAATCAGTAGAGAAAACTGGATAGCTGACCTCCCTGTGTGCAAGTAAGAAGAAAAACATCTTTAGGAGCAAAGCCTGGTTTCTGCATCCATGCTTAGTAAGAGCAGAGAGTAAAGTGTGCTAGCAAACAAAGAATCATAAAACCTTATTATCCTCAGGAAAAGGAGGGGTATGGGAAGTGACCTCTTCACAAGCAACACGACCACATGACCATAGAGATATACACCAGTGTTGCTGTGTAGAGCAACCCCTTCTCAAGGAAAACATAGAACTACACACAAGCATTGATGCTAAATCCAACAGAAGTTGCGATGTGGAAGCAATAGAGATATAATGTCTTGCCTTACTTCCTCTTACCCTATCATGATTCAAGATGTATTAAGGCAGATAATTTTGTGTTGTGCACAAGTGTGGTGTAGTGGTTTGAGTAATAGACTATGATTCTGAAGATGAGGGTTTGAATCCCTCCTTAGACATTTGAAACTCCTTGGCCTTGGGCAAGTCACACTCTCTCAGCCTCAGAGAAAGGCAAAGGCAAACCTCCTCCCCCCTTGAACAAATCTTGCCAAGAAAACTTTTTGATAGGGTCACCTTAGGGCTGCCATAAATCAAAAGCAACTTGAAGGCACACAACAACAACAACAACAACAACAACAGAAAATCATACAAGGAGCTTCTATGGTCTACACAAAATTGCCCTTCTCCTCCTGTTTTAGTCATATGTCTACTATTGACCTGTGACCTGAAGATGGGATGGAAGTTTATTTTTTCCTCCTCTTCGTAACAGTAACAAAATCTGACAAGATTACTTATTTGGATGCATGTTCCCCTAAGGTTTTGCACATCTTTTTTGTCACAGCGAACTCTGCTGTTCATGCTGATCTGTGATTAAAGTATTCTGCTATGACAAATAGCAGTGTGCCAATCCAGGTGAGCCCAAATGCTCTGGGAATTGGTTAAACCTCTTTAGCACATCTGAGACCTACAGAGAAGGATTGTGATACCCAATCTGTACACCCATTCTTAGTTAGTTTTTTCCCCCCCATACCTACATAAAAAGAATATAAGAATTATTTTCTTCATTCCTAATTATTCCTCTCTTGAGAACAGGAGTATGTGTCCTAGACCAGGTAACTACTTTTTGTGTCATGGACCCCTTTGGCGGTCTGGTGAAGCCTATGGGCCCCTTCTCAGAATAATGCTTTAAAATGTATAAAATAAAACACTTAGGATTAGAAGGGAATCAAAGTGAAAATAAAGATATTGTCTGGCATCGTCCATTGAAGTTAGAGATTCATAACTTACAGTTACAGATCTGTATTGCTTCATATCCAACTATGCTACATATTTATAATCATAACACTACAGTTGGCCCTCCGTTTTCGTGCGGGATCCGTTGTGGACATACCCCACCCGTGAAAATGGAGACTCACTGATATTCAAGTCCCATAGGCTGGAATGGGGCACACCCTATTCATCTTAACAAAGGTCGCCCCTCCGTGAATATTCAAAACCGCAGACCTCAAGTTCATGAGAACGGAGGGGTGACTGTATTGCCGTGATCATAAATGCTCCCCAAATCCCACCTTAAGCTCCAGAGAGCCAATCTATGTAATGAAGGCCTGTGCATTGAGAAGCACCACAGCTCAGGAACAGAAGGGGGCTTGCCACATCATTCTGAAGCACCCCACTTCACCACTCCACAGATTTCTACTGCAGGGGTAGGCAACCTTTCCCCTTTAAGGGCCGAGGGACTTCAGCTCCCAGAAGCCTCAGCCATGTTGGCCAATAGTCCCATGTTGGCCAATAGCTCATGGGATTCTGGGAGCTGAAGTCCCTCGGCCCTTAAAGGGGAAAGGTTGCCTACCCCTGTACTACTGCATGGAGGTGCTCCTTGGAGCTTAAGATGGGATTTAGGGTTTGAGTCCTGAGATCCCATGTAGCTATATTACAAAAGTGATGCAGAATCCCAGCCATAATTTTTCCCCATCCAAGTTGACAGAACCCCCAAAATCTATTTGTGGTCCCCAGATTAAGAACTTGTGTTCTGTATCCTCTGTCAATGATCCTTGCAATAAATCCACTTTGAAGAGTGAATGATAGGCCAAGGAAGGTCCCAAACCTCCCCTTCCTTTCCTTCAGAAAGAGCCTACGAGGGGGTATTGTGAAGTTTTAATTATAACCTTTAAAAAATTTTGACAAAAGTTTGTTCTGATTTATAGTTGTTAACTTATCTCTAGACATTTTTCCCAGTGTTTCTTGACCCTCCGAATACCATTATTGTAGAAGTCTGCAGATTGCACCTTAAACCACTCTTCCACTTCAGGAATGATATCATCTGTGTTGTCAAATCAGTGACCCCACAACAGATTTTTCATTTTGGGGGAAAGAAAAAGTCACTTGGTGATGATGATACTGACAAAATTTCGTCAATACACCATAACAACTTCCGGGTGATATTACTTTATGATACCCCCTCGTACTTGAGTCTCATTGTAAAGGATGCTAGTCTGCTGCATCACTTTTTTGTCCCTGCTCTTGACAGCACGGGATCTATCTAGGCAGAAATATCCAATGACACAGATTTTATCTCAGTTCCAGGTGTTGATCTCCCTCACTATAGACAAATTCGATCTGAATATTTTGATAATGCTGCAAACACTTTTTGTTGATTACCGCTGTGATGCAAAATACAACTGCAGACTAATTAGTTTACAAAGTGCCTCTACAGTTTTTGCCTCCTTGTATTTTTGTTTTGTTTTGAAATGCTCTTCCCCAATCTTAATCAGTAAGATATTAAAATGTGCATACATTTCAATCAGACATACAAATAAACAACTTATTTTACAAGAGAGCAAGTTCTAGGTATAAAAAAAGAGAGGCACCCTATTGTGATGCAAGACATTTTTCCTTGTAGCAAATATTGGACAATAATGCTGACTAACTTAAAATCAATAAATTAAATGGCACAATGGAATTTGTTAAAATTAGACCTAATCAAAAACAATTTTACCCAAGTTTTTAATCTATCCAATTTGGCTGTTTTTGTTCACTTCACAATATGAAATTATAAATGAATGCATCAGTTTCATAAGCAATCTTTAAAGCAATGACTCAACTAAATATTCAAAAACAACAACAACAACAACAACAACAACAACAACAAAACAAACCCAAAAACCCAAGAACATTCCAACAAAAGAGTGATTATCCAGTTTATGTCAAAACCCAAATTCAGCAGAAAACTGAAAAAAGCAATGGGAAAAAATCCTCAAAAGAGCTGAATACAACTGTCCAAAAGGAATAAAGTGCATGAAAATGTGGATTATAGCTTCTTTAATTTACATACCCACTGAAAGCAAGGTTAACTTATTAATTTATTTATTTAGTGATGAACCAGGGCATTGCAGTGGCTGTTCAGTATCCTTCCTTTCAGTACAACCCATAGAACAATTTCTGGAAATGCAAAAGTCCCAGATGTCTCTATTTTTATATTAAAAAAGCTACTACATTACACAAGTAGCTGCTTTATCCTGATATTTCAGGAGTGGGATCCTCCTGCGGCTGTATAGTTTGTTTCCAGCTGCTTCCTTGTATTAGAATGTGCTAAATATAAATTCCCTCCTCAGTTTCACTACACAAAGTAGCAATAGCTTTACATCACCAAACGGAAGTTCTACAATTGTTTTATGGTGAGTAGGTGTTGCAAGAGGCACAAGGGCATGCTCAGAAATCTCACGTCCTCCAAAGTGGTATTTATTGAGCTATTTGAGAAGCTTGGAATTCAGAACAGTATATGATGCTAAAATGCTCTCCTCCTGATAAAAGGCATCTCTCACAATGAACAGCAGATTCCTGCTGCCACAGAACAAAGTAGATCTCTCAGATCAAGCCTTCCCCAACTTGGCATCATGGATGACACCTCATATCATTCCCAGAGAGTATGGCACATTGGTGTGCTATTTGGAGATGATGGGAGCCCCAGATGGTGGAAGTCCAAGCAATTACACTTTTGGTGGTGGTAGGGAGGATTAGTCCAGCTACTTTCCATGACTGGTTGGAAGACCTGAGATGCTAGATGGGGTAGCATCCATTCAGGAACACAAACAACTGATGAAATCAAGCCAAGTGTGGAAAACTGAAAGAGGCCCAGCAAAAATTTTAATTGTATTTTATTAAGTGTAGAACTAAACTGTTTTAATATTTTGATTAGTTTAATTCCATTTTAATGTTCACTCTTTGTATGCTTTTAATCATATTGCTCTTTTAAAATTGTACATTATCATGAGTCCCAATTTTGGGAGAAAGGCAGGATACAAATAAACATAATGATGATAACAATGAATCCACTAGCATTTTTGGAGGTGAACAAGCCACATGGCCAGGTTCATGAAAGCAGTCCTTGCAGTTCAATGGCAGACCAAAAACATTACAACATAGACTTGAGATTATGAGGCAGTTTAAGTCTTATTCTCCACAGTGTTGAACAGGGCCAGCCCAAAATATTTTGCTTCCTAAAGCAGAATACGTAATAGTGCTGCCCCCCACCAAAGCCAGCCAAATGATTGTGACTTCCCCCCATTACTGCCAGTAAAAGCATAGCAACACCAAATCAAATAACTAGCCATTTGTTCCCTTTCATCTTGTTGTTGCTGTTCTGTCCGACTTATGATGAGCCTAAGGCAAACCTATCATGGGGTTTTCTTGGCAAGATTTGTTCAGAGATTTGCCATTGCCTTCCCCTGAGGCTGAGAGCATGCGACTTGCCAAAGGTCACCCAGCAGGTTTCATGGCTGAACGGGGAATTAAACCCAGGTCTCCAGAGTCATCGTCTAACACTCAAACCACTATGCCATGCTGGCTCTCTATCTGCTGCCCAAAGCAGTTGCTCCTCCCTGCCTAACAGTAGAGCTGGTCCTGATCTCAAGCTACATTTTACTACTTCTTCCTTAAAACCTTTTACACTTCTGTGGGGCAGCTTTGACAGACATTTAAGGAACGTATCAAGGGTGGGTAGTGTTCTCAGAATACAAGTGAAACCTTTGACAAGTTTCAGAAAGACCCTCATTCTTGTGAGCCAGCTGAACTGAGCTCTCTCTTTCCCCTAAGAAAGGGCTTGCTAAATATTGTCCTTCTCTGTGGACAAAAGCCACAGATCGCCTCCTCCTCCATCTCCCCACCCCCAGGAATCTAAGGCTCAGACCTATTTTCCTCCTTGCTCCTCTGGGGCTACTGTGCTCACCCCAACCCAGCCAACTGGCCCATTGTTAACAAGCTCGTCCAGCCGAGAAAGTGATTGATCATCAGGGAGAAAGGCCAAAGCCCTGACGGGTCGTTTAACAATTTCAATTAAAGTCCACGGCATTCACACACTGAGAGAGGAGAAGAAAGAAAGGAATGGGTTTGGGGTTTTTTTATTTAAAAAAGGGAGAATCTTCTGCTGCTGCCACGGTGGGTGACAGCTCCTATAGCAACTTAGCAGGGTCAAAAGGGCTCTCCCCAGAGAAGGTGCAAGGTTTGAGAAAAAAACCCTTTTTTCCTGGACTAGAATTATCTAAAGCAGGGGAAACATCCTATTTCCTGGATGCAAAGCACAGCTGCGGATTAAATAAACTCCCTCCTTCTTACCTTCTGATAAAACATGGCTGGCAGTTCCAGAAGGGAACCCAATAATAAGTGCCTGTGACCCATTTGCAGAACTACATTTTTCAAGCCAGGGTGCTACTAGAGAATATGTCCGCTGAATATTAAAACTACATGTCCCCAAACTTCCCGTCGCTGGGTCTGGCGCTTGATTCTTGGTTACGTGCAGTGACTTTTTTTAGACACACGCGATCCCCAAGGGCTAATCAGAGAGATGCAGCTCTGAATCCACTGAGACAGCAGAAGGACTCTTAGAGGGATTTTAAAAAACTCAGCGTCTCAGCCTGTCACATGGAAAAACGCGCCTTAATGAGTGGCAAAATGCGGCAAACATGCTGTTCTCTCTGTGGCATTTTGGAGACAAGTGAGAATCATAATAAGAGATCAAGAACAGAGGGCCTTTGTGAGGGAGCAGGCCAAACCCTTACAAAAAACAAAACAAACAAAAAACAAAAATGGCAGCCATGTCTCACAGAATTACAGAGTTGGAAGAGACCACAAGGGCCATCCA